ATTAGCCTGTAGTTAAATGTTTTTAAGGGTTATGTTTGTGAGGAAAATTCCAGTATTTTTCACCCTACAGTTAACTAAATCAAACATTCAAAAGCCACTGAAATTCAAAAAAAAAAAAAAAAAAAAAAGATGTTTATGACTAGATTGCACACTGCCACTGTGCAAGTCAACAAGTCAACAGACAAAACTTGTGTAACCTTGTTAGATAGCACAGAAGAGAGGGGAGCACCTGAAACCTGCTCCCCTGCAGAGCCATGGAGGTGCAAAGAAATGGCTCAGGGATCTACTCCCGAGATCCTGTCCTGAAGGTAAGCAACTTCCAACTTCTTTCAAAAACCAGGTATAACGCACTCATGTCAATCTTGAAGCAGTTAAAATACGTGGTCTCCTACCTGCCAGGAGTGTGGCTAACACTGGGTAGTAACTGAGCGTAGCATAGAAACAGAGCAAAACACAGATAGAGAGAAACGCTCTTCCTGGTCGGGAAGCAGTACCAGAACTCTGCCCAGCCCACTTCAGCTGAGTGGTTTATTGCTGGAGAACACAGATTTGTTCCTCTTGTTTTCTGCCTCAATGCCCTTCTGCACAGTGGGATGGCTTCTTGGGGCAGGAGGTAGTCCCCAGCAAAAGAGGTGATCAGCCCACTGGTGAGAGCAGGCTTCCCTTCGTCTCAGGCCAAAGAGGGATTTTAGGCCTTTGTCTAGTAGGTCAAAACGATAAGCTGGCACAAGAAAGTGTTAATGCTGTACATAAAAAGGTACAGGTGCTTTCAAGTTTTGAACCTTAGCCTCACATGTTCTGAAGAAGGACAGCAGGCGTGGGGCAGCACCACTATTTCTCTTTGTTGTAAACCAGTGAGAAAGATGAACATGACTCCTACTCCAGTTCAGCCCTTTTGCCCAGGATTGGGTTCATAATCTCACTGAGAATTCTGTTTAGGTCCTGCCCCTCTTTATAGTTTCTCTCTGTCTCAGGACATCCGTACCTCACTCCGTTTTCCGGCTTTCTGAATCTCTCCTCAGGTGTCAGACTCCTCACGTGCACTGAGCTTTGGCAGCACACAGGTTTCTGAATGCCATTCACCTGCTTGGTAGCTGCTGCAAGACCAAGTTCTCCACAGCCCATTTGCAAATCTGACCCCAGTACCTCCATGCTGTTGCACACAGAGAAAATAATTTCCCTAGGAGTGAGCAACCCAAACACTATGTGCTGTTCTATCCCTTCATAGGAACAGAGCAATTTACTTAACTTTCTCTTACGGAGCACTATTTGCATATCCAGAACAAAGCTTTCATTCATTCTTTATCTAAAGTGCCTCAATAAACGGGCTCAGATGGGGTCCATATTTTCTGACACGCAAGACTCTAGGAATAGGCTGTAGCTGCAAGAAAGTTTTAGTGGGGAATTAGCCGGAAATTCTTTGGCAGACAAAGGTAAGCCGGAGGTCAGCTAGAAAAAATATTTTTATCAGTCATTTCCTTTGCACCACAGCTGGGGAATGCACGGCCCGTGACTTCATTTCATAAGGCCTGTGGCCATTTAGCTTTTTTCATGTTACTGTCAGATAACATCAAAATGTGAGTTAACAGGTAGCCTGGAAAAGGCATTCAGGAGGCATTCAAGTTCCAGTGGTTCCTCAGCCCTGATTTCTTCATGGTGCACATGCAAGTTCAATACAGAATCCTGTGGTAACAGAAATTTTAGCTGTTTGGCAAAGGTCTTAAAACAAATATCCAACAAATATCCATCACTAACAGAGCAGTCTTACACCATGTGTGTGTACACTCTATTTCAGCCCCACATCAGCTTAAAATCCTGAGATTTCAACTTGACTTTATAAAAATTACTGAAAGTTTTTCAGGGCAAGTTGACTGCCATGATGCTTCTTAAACGTCTGTGTTATATGTCATAAAATGGGTCCTTCGGGTCAATAGCATTAGGCTGGGAGCAACAATCTACATTGCTTTATTTTGTTAATTAAGAATAATATATATATATAGCATATCTACCCAGGCTGGAAACAGCTTTTAACAAGGGGCAGCTCCTGGAGTCTTCTCACAGAGGCCACACCTGCAGCCCCCCTGCTACCAAAACCTTGTCACATAAACCTAATACATTTTAACATAAATATTAAGAGTGTAAAAAGAGAAAATTTGGAAATGTATTTTTATACATTAAGGCACCTTACTTTTTCACACATTATTGATGTATTCACAAAAATGATCATGTAATCATCGTAAGGTGGATTAGGGCCTCTAGATAATTTGGGTTATCAAGGACATGTTATTAAGAATCATTATCACATATTTATACTACAAATATGACCTACTTTGAAGTTGTTACACCCTGTTAAGGATGTTACTCAACACCTCTTTTTGGAGCACTACCTGGCTGCAGGGAAAGCGACAGAGCTGCATTTTTTCCCTCGGTTTACCTTCCCAGCCTGGTCACTGAACACCATTCCTTGCATTTTGGAGGTAGTCTTGTGACTTTTACAAAGCCACTGATGGTCTCAGCATGGGTCTAAATCACAATCTCAGTTCTCAGTTTCTACAGAGAGGTCAAAGGGTGAAAGAGGGCAACAAAGATGGTGAAGAGCCTGGAGGGCAAGGTGTACGAGGAGCGGCTGAGGTCCCTTGGTTTATTCAGCGCAGAGCAGAGCAGGCTGAGGGGAGGCCTCATGGCGGCCTGCAGCTCCCTCACGAGGGGAGCGGAGGGGCAGGTGCTGAGCTCTGCTCTCTGGGGACAGCGACAGGACCCGAGGGAATGGCATGGAGCTGGGACAGGGGAGGGTCAGGCTGGGGGTTAGAGAAAGGTTCTGCACCCAGAGGTGGTCGGGCACTGGGACAGGGTTCCCAGGCAGTGGTCACAGCACCAAGCCTGTCAGAGCTCAAGAAGCCCTTGGACAGTGCTATCAGACATCTGGTTTGATTTTTGCGTGGTCCTGTGTGGAACCAAGCGTTGGACTCCATGACCCTTGTGGGTCCTCTCCAACTCAGGGTATGCTGTGATTCTGTGATCCTCCCCAGGGCAGGATGTGGCACTGTACCAGACACTTCTCCGGGAGGGGCAGTTTGCACCACCAGCCCTCTCTGGAAAAGAGACTTTCACTACGGAACACTAAACTTTCATCTACACAACAGTAAATTTACTTGAGAACATAGGGCAATAACCAGAAAAGAGTGAGAGAACCTTCTCCCAAGACATCCACTCCAGCAGAATATCCTCTTAAAATCACAAGTGGTTCCCAAACCATTACAATCTGCGCCTAGCAAGCTTTTCTCCCTGCCTCCACTGCCCTGTTGTCCCAGGCCCACTCTGCTCCTCCTTGCCTGGGTGGGAATGATCCTGTCCCACTTGCAAAGCCCCCAAATTACACCCAGCCATGACACAGCCCCCACCTACAGTGCTTGCCCTTGTGACAGCATGGTGGTCCCATCTCCAGCCTGAGCAGGGAATGTACAAAGGCAGTTTTAAGGCATGTCCACATGTTCCTTCCAGCACAGATTTCACCATACAATACCACCACACCAGCACAGCTTTTACTTTTACAGAAGTACACAAGAGAGATAAATAAATCATCTCCCTGTTTTCATGCCACCGCTCTGATTCCACATGCATTTTGGGTTTTAGTCAATAGATTTGAAGTGAGACTTCACATGACTTCTTGACATGAGACTTGCAAGGTGAGGGATGAAACAAAAATCCAGGCACCCTGTAGCACAGATGAAAACAGAAGATCCAAAAGCAATAGGACGGTTTGCTGCTGTTTGTCTCCATAACTGTCTGTTTGGAAAGTGCCCAGTAGTTCCTACTGTAAGATAATGTTGATGATATCTGAACTTACAAACTTAACCTCTTGGGCTGTAACTTTTCTAGGTAGACTGCTATCTTAACAGGAATGTCCTCAAAAAAAAAAAAAAAAAAAAAACCTGCCAAAGAGCTGCTGCAGAGCTTTGCTGGAGCTCGCTAACCCCCAGCCTGTGGATGCTGTTTGGCTTTACATTCTGACACAGCTCTGCTTAAAACGAGCGTACCCAGAGTACCCTTTATGCATTTGTTCCCTGCACCTGGCACCACGCAGGGCTGGGAGGTGCAGTCGGTGCTCCTGCTGCCCCAGCACGGTCCTGAGGATCCCATCCTGCTCCGGACACGAGTTTGGCAGACTCACATTCAGCTCACTGCAGGGCATAGGAGGGGAAACACAAGGCAAACCCTGCTCACAGATGAAGTGGGATTTTAGGAGAATACTTGGCATGAGGAAGGAAGCAGGACTCCAGCAAGCTTCCAAGCCCCGCCAGGCAGGGGGGGCAACCCTAAGTCCACAATTATTTGGGGTGAGAGCAGCACACCTACCAGTACGGCAGCTGAACCTTATATAACCGCTTCAGTAACCTCACATAACCACAGACAGACAGAGGATTTAGCAGAACATTTCCAAAGTGTTATCAAGTAGGCTACCTCTGCCTGCACTGCTTGGCCCCCCAGCCTGGGACCCCTGCAGTGAGCTGTTGTAATGTTAGTGCCAGGTCTCTCCAGGACTTTTTTTTTTTACAGTTTTCAGGTACACTGATACACGTTAAGCTTACAACTGGGAAACATCTGAGCCAGCTGCCTGCAGATGTTGCTTAAGTTAAATCTCACCTCCTGCACAGGGAACGCTGCCACAACCGGGTTGCAGCAGCAGAACACCTTCTATAGCACATTTGGAAACACCACACCCGAACCAAAAGGAGTCCAGGGAAGTCAGCAAGTTTCATCAGTAAATACGATGGGGTGCCTGCAAACATCTTCCTTACAGCCAGGTTCCCCTACGGAGCATCACCCAGCACAGCGAGGATTAAATTTCACTGCTAGGCAAAACTCTGATGTAACAGAGGAACTTTCTGCCAGAGCCCTTCAGCACCGCTTGTGACATGGGGAGATTTAATTTGAAGAATATGCAAATGACAGCATTAATGTACTGTCAGCCTTGGACTTTGTTGTGGTCGTAAGCGGGTGTCCCAGAGGAAGGGAACTGCTTGGCACGTGTTCTCTCTCCTGTCCTCCTTCTAACCCTGGCCACAAAGCAGCGAGGTCTGTCAGGTTTTTATCCAGCTTGCAGGTAAAGGGTTACAGATTCTAGGAAGTATTAAATGCAAACTTTAAAGGATTTTATTTTCATCTGCAGTCACATGACGCCCTAATACCCAATGACACTAACTACAGTGTCTCATTAAGAGGTCATGCGAACTCCCAAGCTAAACAAGGCATTCTTACATATTTAACATTCAAATGCAGAAGCCACGCTAAGCCATGGAAGATTGCAATCAGAAAAAAGCTACACTTCCTGATCAGCACAGAAGCTACAGGTAGGAAAAGTTCTCGTTCCTTTAAACTTACAGCACTGTGCTTTCGAGAGAAAATGTTTCCAGGGCATGTCTTGTACTCTCTTTCTTTCTCAGCTTTCAGAATAATCTAATACTTTTATCTGGAAATTACCTGATCCCACTTGTTTCACCTGTTGTAGAATCAGCAACGTTTTTATGCTCAGAAACACAGTTGGCTCAGCAGAAATCCAAACAAAACAACGTTCTTAAACAGGATGTGACTGCAGAAAAAGTCATATTTCTTTAAGATTTCTCAGCTATTGAAACAGCTGCATTAGAGTATGTGAGGTGAAGGGGGTGTTAATGCGTCTGATGTCTGAATCAAAGGGATTTGGAGCTCTTCTGACTTTACTTATGCCATGAATTGCACATTGTTTCAGTCCCTTCAATGAAAGCGTATTTTAATGGATGTGGCTTCCTCGCTGGACTTTCATGATTTTTGAGTTCTCCTCCTATAATTTGGTGCATTTTAAAGAAAAAAAATAATAATCTTGCAAAAGCAAATGAAAGGCAGATGGGGAGGGTTTTTCAGTGCTCTACAAAAGGAGAAAAATTTACAAAACGGGGGAGTATGAAGCAAGTCAGTTAAAACCCAAATAATTGAAAATTTAAATTGTATTAAAGCATAGCTGTTTTTACAGTAAGTGATAAAGTTTCACTGAAAGCTGCTGGCAAAATTGCAGAAGTTTATTTTTTGTAACTCTTGCTGAAGGATTTTTCCAGGGTACAGCATTAATTTGTATCACAAAGATCTTTTTCTCATCACAGCTTTTCTCTAAACTGTAATTGTTTTCAGGCGGGTTTCTACAAACTCGTCATTTTCATCCCTTTATAGGATTTTCCTTGTAGACTACATTCTGTAGAGCTACAAAATCTATATTTACTCAAAGATCTCGAGTGCATCAGAAGGTTTCCACCCCCTAGGGATTCCCACTGCATGAAAGGAGCAAGCGGTGTTTATTGTTTTACTCCTACAATGGTTGGGTGGTGATTGCAAGCAATGTACTTTTTCCTCAGTTTATTCTATAAAACCCATCTCTTTTTCCTCTTCCCACGTAATGCTAGTGGATATCAAAAAGAAGTGGAGAGTAACAATACCTACAGCACTTTGCTTCTGATAAGCTGTCAATTTTCTCTGCTTTATCATTACCAGTACTTCCAATACATTTAAGAAAGGTTGAGCCCCAACAAGTTTATCACTAGTGCTTAAAGAAATAAATAGCCAGGCACTTCCAGAGTGCCCATCTTGAACTACAGTAGGTCTAACATCAAGAAGGGCCAAGACCCCACTTTGTCCTGGTTTGTCCAGCCCAAGACATCGAAAATCTTTTACCAAGCCAATGGACCTGCTCACCTCCCAGCAGAGGAGTTCACCATAGTGAATGTAGCAAGAAGCCACGTTTTACCATAACTATTCTATATTTACTGTAACTGATCTCTGAGCATAAATTAGTTTTTAACAATCTATCCAGTAACTCATATTTGCTAAGCAAAACTTAAATATAAAGGGAGTAAGGGGAAGACACGAGCTCCCACCCAAACAGCTGCCCTGTGACACAGGCTTTCAGTGCCGAGGAAGGCTGCACCTGCCAAGGGAGGAACAGCCAGCCCCAACTAGTCTCTTTTAGCAAATGTTTGTACAAATCGGGCGGGTCACGGAAAGCTTAGTAGCTACGGAGTTAAAGCTGCTGAAGGTTGATTGCACAACATGTCTTTGTAGGATGGGAGATACAAGGAATGCTAAAGTTACTCTGTGGGCAAACACACTCCGAGTGAGGTGAGAAGTTGCTCATTTCCTAGAGGAGAGGAACACAAGTGAGGAGTGTGCTGCTAGCACTCTAGCAGTTCAGATGTTCTTTATAGCAAAAATTTTACAGTCGTTACAGGAATCTGCACTGATTTAATTTCTGGTGAAATAATCCAACCTATTATCTCGGTTTGTCACATCAGCATAGTCAAATGTAGTGTTGTTTCACGGTGAGGGCACACAAATCAAAGACTTCCTTCTCATACACAAGGAAAAAACAGATGATTGGAAACTGAGATCACCGGAAACCCAACAGAATTTTTCTCTTTGATCCCGGGGAGAAATCAAGCAAACAGAAAAACAAAAACACTTCCAGAACTCTGGAATAGTTTTCTCTTTCCCCTCAAACCGAAGCTAAGCAAAGCACTGCTCAAGAGCCAACCCACCTCTTCACAAACGCTTGCAAATCTCAGGAAACTTGTACCAGATTTAAGGTTCATGCTGGAAATCTTCAACCTGATTTTATCACAGCTCTAGGCAGGTGGGAAGACAGAGCAAAACTTGCAAGTGAAGGGAACTGTAGCTTCCTCAGAAAACCTGCTAGAAAGTGGTCAGCAAGCAAGGTAAACATTTCTGAGTGCTGAGGCCCTTCTCTAACCACACAGTTGTTTTTATCAGATCTGAAGGAAATACTTACAGCAAGTATTTGCTCTAAGGCTTTAACTAAATGAAAGCCAAGGTGCCTCATACAGGCCAGGGTGCAATCCTTTCCTTCCCACTGTGGAGAAACAAAGAGCAGGGGGGCTTGGAGCAGGCAGGGCCCACACAGGAGGCCAGGGCCTCCCCTGGCTCCATCCTATCGTACCACCGTAGGAAAGCCTCCCTTCATGTTTTTTGGGAAGGGGTGGCCTTATTCTGTGTCTGCACAGTATCCAGTCAGACACGGCCTTGGCATTGTTTGTCTTGCACTGCCACTGTTTCACGGATGACTTGGTGGGGATGGGACTTGACACACGCAACACACTGACATGTGATGAGATTCAGTCAGTTAATAAATATTTGCTTCAAACTTACAATTCCTCCTCCAAAACCTGTTCAGCTGAGGATTACATATAGTCACCTTACAGCAGAGTGTGACTGAGACGTCCACCAAAAAAAGTTAAGAGCAGGAAAATGTGCGCGATCTCTGGGCCTCCTTCCTTTCATGAGAGAAAATATGCTGGTGGCTTTTTTGTTTTAGCAGAGGTTGGTTGTTCTGGTAATCCCATGGGGGGTCCATTTGAAATGAAACAGTGAAACATCTGGTTTTCAGTGGGTGTGCAATGCTGTGACGCATCACAGGGAGGCCAGGTCCCAGCTCCTGGCCTCCTCACACCTGAGCTAGCACCCGAGTGTGCTGGCTTCACGTGCAAGCACTGATGCATGGAAAAGGTAGGGTTTTGCTGAGCTATAGAAGAGTGCCAGCAGACAGGATGTATTGCTATGGAGAATAGGTATGAAACATGATGTAGTTTTACCTATTAAAAGTTTGATATCAAAATGGACAAAATACATGAGTTATGGTAGCAAGGTCAAAAGGGATTATTGCAAAGAGGGAACAACACAGCAATTTTCCTTGAGCTCCCCTCTGAGTCACTTTCACTTGGACATATGGAGGAACTTTAAAATTTTATTAAGAGCTGAATACATTGTTTGGAAACTAAACATTTAATCAGTTACAGCAGGAAGCAGGGGGGGAAAAAAGACCTACGTTTTCTTTTGTGTGTGACATTTTTGTCTGCAGTTTCTATACAAGTTTATTTAACTTCCAATTCTTCACTTTAACCACAGATGTTTGCTGCAAAGCCACAGATGCTTTCTGGTTAGAAAAGTATTTGTGGTCAAATATTCTATTATTAATTCACATAAGTTACTTTTCCGTTTGGGAGAAAGGAATAAGCCTTCTCCCTGCAGCTTACTTTTTTTGGCGTTACCAAATGGGCCTGGCTCCACTTTGAATCATTCCCCAACTATTAAAGAAAGATGTGTGTTGCTATTAAAGAGCAGTTAATCTCCTGATTTTATGTAAACAAGCTCCAGTGCCTTGCTGTAGCAGGCAATCTGCTTTTCTGCAAGAGCAGAGTCACAGGAGGAGAGTACCCCTAGTGAAATAGGAAACACACCCACAAAACGACTGAAAAACCTTTCAGCCTGGAGTCCACCCTGGGACCTCATCAAACCGGCTCCAGTGGGAGCAGTGTCAAATCCTCACACACAGGCCAGGAGGAAAATACACAGCCCACTGCGCCTGGGTGCGAAGGCACTTTGCCCAGGCAGGTTGGCATTAATGCCCACAGGCGATTAATGCCCATGCACTCTGATGTGGAGGCTCCAGAGGCTGATTTAAGGCAGGAGTGTCCCAAATGAGCTGCATGGAGCCCAGGGACTTACCAGGCTGTGGGTCCCCTCCTCCTCTGAAAGTTCATCCTCTCCCTGTATTTGTTGCAGTGGTTGCATTTACTGCCTGAGCTGTATTTATGGCATTCCCTTCCCCCTTCATCCTGCAGCCACTTGGCAACTCTGTTTTATCAGCGTTAGGTTTGGGAGTGTCCAGCATTATCTACCTTACTAAGCAGCCGAGCTCTGTGCAACAGCCGGGGATGCAGAAAGAAGGGCCTGTGCCCTGACACAGCTCGACAACAGCCCACCGGCTTCCCCATCTCTCCCTCCATGCCCCTGCTTGCACCAGGACACATCCCAGCTCTGGAACCAAGCTATCTGCAGTTTCTTCCTCTGCCTGAGCTGCTAAGTGTTAGCAGCTCTTACTTTTTTTACAGCACACAAGCCTGATAGCAATCTGATTTGGGTGATTTTAACATGGCTTATTTCCAAGGAGCTATTCCTCTGATCTACTCATAGTAAAAGTACTCTTCTGACCTACTCAGAGTAAAACAGGCATAAGGCTTGGACGGTGTCAGGTTGTTGTAGTAAGCTGATGGTCTTGCTCACTGTGTAGAGCTCAGTGGAAAAAAAAAAAAAAAAGAAAAAAAAAAAAAGGAAAAAGAAAAAAGGCAGTTCTGTCATCTTCCACTTACATGAATAAAGCTTTGTTAAGGTCCTTTCCATCTCTATTTTTGGTTTGGGTGTGGTGTGGAAAAAACAATATTTACCATCTCAGTGGCTGTGCCCTTTGTGTATTTGTTTTCATGTTCCCTTTCCCCATGTGAATTCAGCAGATGTTGCATGGCTTGATAGG